GCAAAGTGGCAGGAAGAGAAACCGTAGAGAGAGGTTGGTGGTCAGGCTCTTTGTTTTAAATCAATCAAACATCTGTGACTAATGCAGCTTTGGGCTGCTCCTCAGGAAGCATTATCCCTATTAGTGGGGGCTGGCAGGAACACAAAATAAGATATTTATGGGCTGGGCATGTGTGCATGGCTGTGGGGATCGAGGGGCTGGGGAGGAGAACAGTGCAGGTCAGCAAGTCTGTGGCCTCACCTTGCCTGGCTTGGGGGTTCACATCAAGCTGGGGACAGCAAGCCCAGGACCTCTGCCCTGGTGCCAGCCCACGCCCACCCCCGCCCCGACACACACACACACACACACACACACACACACACACACACACACTCACACAATGTGGAGAGGATTCTGCCTTCCAGGCCCTGATCTGATCACAGCTGGGGCCTCGGCAAGTCACCCCTTCTCCTTGGGCCCTGGGCCTTGGTCGTACAATGACAGATGTGGGAGGATGTCCTCCAAAGTCCCTTCTCTGCAGATGCATGTGGTGGGCTGGGGAGAGGGTGTGCTGCCTAGAGCCACAACTGTCTGCTAAGGAGGGAAGCTCCTGGCTAAACCAAAGACCCCTGGGTAGTCGGGGAGTTGCCTTTGGGAGTGAGGCGTGAAGGGACAGCAAGAGAGAGAGAGGACTCCAGTGCTCTCCGGAGGAGGAGGACGGGGAGGAGGCAGAGGAGAGCCAAAGGTGACCTGTGCCTGGTGCCAAGTGGGACCAGGTAGCTGGTGAGCAGCCAAGGGTTAAGGACAGGACGCCTGATCCCTCAATGCTAACTTGTCTGGGAGCATGTTTGACAAGGCTCTTCACAATCCACAGATCGTTAATACAGATTCTGTTAGGAGCAACTGTTTTGTGCTTGTGGTTGCTTAGGGAGTAGAAACAAGAAAGAAATGTGCTCTGTGATGGATAAAAATAAAAGTGAAGGTATCAGAAGAGTCACAGAGGCAGAGCAGAGCAGAAGAAATCCCCAGAATCTTGAATCAGGGCCCAGGGCGTGGCCGTGATCACAGCAAAGCTGGGCGGCCCCAGACGACATCGGGGTTTACCTAAGCAAGGTCAGGAAAGGCAGGCCTTGGGCTCTGAGTATCTGCCGGGCTCAAGGCAGTGAGGCCAGGCTGGGATACTGTCACACACACCCCCAAGCCCCTGATACTGCTCCAGTTGGCCCCAGCTCCACCCACACCTGCCCCTCAGGGTTTCCCCCACCTCCTGAGCTTGGCATTTCATTTTGGGGCTTTCACACCTAACCCTCCCCTCCCCTCAAAGCCTCTGCCTTCCCTCGGCCAATGGCCAATGTCTCTTCCTCCAGGTCTGAGCACAAAGGTCCCATCCTCAGAGAGCTCTCCCCTGTCACCCACTCCTTGGAGCTGAAGCTGATGGCCTGGAATCCTCTCCTTAAGTATTTGGGCTTTTCCTCTGTGGTGCAGATGGATCTCAGCCTGCCGTGGTGGGTGTGCATGTGTGTGTGTGCACGCACTAAGGCTGTTTCCACATCTCGCTCCCAGTTCCCTCAGGGAGAGTGGGCATTGCCTCCCTCTACCGAAGCATTTAGAGGGTGCTGGAAATCTACCTGGCACTTCATACATGTTTGACGAATCAATTAACAGATATACACGGAGCTGGAGTATTGATCATATTGCCATTCATACCCTTGATGACAGCCCAGGAAGTGGTAAGGAGAGAACAGGATAAGATGAGGGGCAGGGTCGGACTACCCTGGTGGTGCAGTGGCTAAGAGTCCATGCTCCCAATGCAGGGGGCTCAGGTTCAATCCCTGGTCAGGGAACAAGATCCCACATGCTGTAACTTAAGATCCTGTGTGCCACAGTTAAGACCCAGTGCAGCCAAACAAATAAATAAAAGATGTGGGTCAGGGAGGCTGCAGTAGGGGCAGAGGTTGAGACTTGTTCAGTCGCCCTGTGCCCTGCCCATCATGGGGGTCTCAGCCACCAGCCTCTAGCTACAGCCTCGACGTATTTTACCCCATGTTCCATTCCAGGTGGAAAGACTAGATATGTGTCCAGGTGTGGGGTGGATCTTATTCTTCAGCAAGACTTGCAGTCTACTGTGAAGTCTTACTGGTCTAGAGGATCTGAGGGGCCAAATCCCCTTACAAGCAGTGAGGAAGGAGGTGCTGCCATTCTCATCTGCTCAGCCTGTAGGCTGGAGACTCCTGTGGAGAGTTCATGCATAAAGAAAAGCATCATGTTCCATGGCAATATTGTGTGATGCACATGGCGCCCGCCTTTCTGGAGGACCTGCCGGGACCCATCTACCCCAATGATCTGTGACTCTTGCTGTTCAACGTCATCTCAAATTTGCTGGGCAACAGGAGGTGAGGTCCTTGGCCCCTCTGGGCTACAGTTCCATCTGAGTATAAGAAGAAATAAAAGTTTGTTGTGAAATGCTGGCTGTGTTTGAACTAAGAGAATATCTCTCTCCAAGGGATTTCTTCTCTTCTGGAAGGAGAGATCCATAAAAGGACCACCTCCCTCCTCCAGTCTGGCCAACTATATAAGCAAAAGAAATAACTAGAAATCCATCTCCAACATGAAATTAATCACCCTAGAGCAAATTTCAACACTGTAATCTTGCTGCTCAAATAATTTCCAGGACTTCCAAGACCTGTTGTATTCATCCCAGATTCCTTACCAGGGGTCCTATTCGCACCTGCCACATTCACTCTCCGAACCCTTGGCCCAGGTCTGATTCTCCTGCCAGTGACCAAGCTTGACTTGCACTTCTGAGTGTGTTCCTAGGGTCCTAAAAATCTCACCTCCTGCCCTTCCTCCTCCTCCAGGAAGCCTCCTCAGATTATCTCCATCATTCCAACCAGACCAGAGCTTCCTTTCCTGTAATGCCTCTGTCTGCACTCCCACACAGCCTAGGAAGGAAGCCGCTCCTCTGCGGGGCTCCCCCAGGTCAGGCCCGCTCCTGACTGCTGCTCCTCGTGCAGAGCCCAGCAGAGCAGAGCCTCCTCCACTTGCAGTGCGGCTCACACTTCGCACTAAAACATCTTTAACAGCAGAGGACAATCGTGAAGCCCCCGGGTCCTCTCAGGAAGCATCGCCATGCAGCCTCAACTCCCCATCCCTCCACAAGGGCATTTCTTTGCTCTTTTTTTAACATTAAAATTCATCAACTTTTGCATTCCACACAATCATGTGTAAGTATTTGTTTTAATAGAAAAGCCATGATTTCCCCATCCCAGTCTTCTAGCCCACTGGACTCTCTGAGAAGGTGTGACACTTCCTGTTAACCCAAAAGAGAAGGCTAAGGCTGAGATGCCAATTGTTGAGGAAATGAAATAGGACTGGACAGACAGTGCCCAGAGAAGGCTGGCTCCCCACACAGCCAGCTGAGCTTCGGATGGTCGTGATGAAGGATTTGGGTTTTAATAATGTACTTCATTTTTGGCAAAGCCCTGGACAGCTTGCAAAATATCTACAACATGAATGCCGCCATATGGAGGTCACAGTGAAATGGAAGGGCAGGGAGGGCAGGAGGTAGTCCCCCCATTTGACAGAGAGGTTCTGGGCTACCTGAAGCCCAACAACTAGAAAAGGGTACAGGCAGAGCAAAAATGAAACAAACCCTTTCTTATTTTTTTAATACATGAGGCGCCCTGTTATCAGGGTAACTGGTCAACCAGCACTGCCCAAAGCATCTACCCTTCACTGAGGACACGTGAGATCACTTGGAGCCCTTACGAGGGGGACCTATCCCCAGACCCCCGTACACAAACACACGTTCACTGCACACCACCCCCTGGACTTGCCCACTTGTGCTTCAAGATCACACTCTTCAGTTCTGGGTGTGTGCATATATATCCCACAAAAACACTGTTTCAAAGAGATACACACCCCAATGTTCACAGCAGCATTATTTACAACTGCCAGGATACAGAAGCTGTAAGGAGAGTGCAGAGAAAAAGAGAGCGAGCAGGGCAGTCAGGCAAGAAAACGGAAATTTATTAGAGGGAAAAGAGAGGGTGACTGGGTCTTAAGGAGAACCAGCATTCTCTCTTTCTGACAAGGTCCTTCTCATACCCCACCAATGAAAAATTCTCTGAAGGGATCGTCGCGGAGCTGGAGGTCTGGAATCTGCTGGTGTCGCAGCTTTGAGAAGACAGGTGCCAGTGAGATAACAGGATGCCATTTGGGCAATTTGGTCAGTCTCAAGATCACTGTGATTTATTCTTTGTTTGTGAGGTCGACATAACAAGCCATCTTGTTAATGAGACCCCATGTGGGCCCTATCAGAAGCAACTCAAGTGTCCATCAACAGATGAACAGATAAAGAAGATGTGATACACATACACAATGGAGTACTACTCAACCATATAAAAAGAATGAAATCTTTCCATTTGCAGCAACATGGATGGAACCAGAGGATATTATGCTAAGTGAAGACAGAGGAAGACAAATACTGTCTGTTATCACTTATATGTGGAATCTAAAAAATGTGACCAACTAATGAATGTAACAGAAAAGAAACTGACACAGAGAGAGCAAATTGGTGGTTACCAGTGAAGAGAGGGAAGGAGGGCGGGGCAGTAAAGGATGAAGAGGTACAAACAACTAGGTATAAAATAAGGTGCAGGGATATGTTGTCCAACACAGGGACTCTAGCAAATATTTTACAATAACTATAAATGGAGTGTAAGCTTAACTGTGAATCACTATATTGTATACCTGAAACTTATATAAAATTGTACATCAACTATATTTCAACAAAAATAATAAAAATTTTAAAAATTAAAAAAAAAAAGATCAGCCTTCAGGAGTTCTTCTGCAACACCCTTTCAAAGCTGTCATCCATGTCAGCCCAGAGCCTCCACACACACCCAGAGCTGCAGGGCCTGCCTTCTGGCCGTGGGACACTGAGGAGGGCCCTGAATGGACTGGAAAGGCAGTTGGAGAAAGCAGGCAGCTTTTTCGCCCAGTGCTTCACTCTCCTCTACCTACTCTGTCTTCCTGGCCCACTTCCCATCCTGCAGAGGCAGCGGCTCCTGGATGGTGCCCTTGAGCTGGAAGCGAGGGTGCGCGTAACTGACTCCCTCTCTGGCTGAGTCCCGATCCAGCACTCTGAACGTGGAGTGCTGAGGCATCTGAATGTGGAGGCCGAGCAGAGCATGGGCTGACTGAGCTGCTGGCCCCCAGGTTTTGGGGGCAGCCACCGCTGGAGGGGCGCTCTGGGGGCCGGGGGTACCTGTACTGTGTGTAAGGTCAGCTCCCGGGATCACTGCCCCTGCTGCTCCACCACCTGATTCCCTGCCGGCAGGAGCTGCGGGGCCATTCCCCTGGGGGATGGTGCTCCGGAAGAAGGCTGTGCCTGAAGGATCTTCCCATGTGCCTGTGAGCTGCGTCACCCTGGGAGACCGTTCTGAGACCTGGTTTCTTCATCTCCAAAACAAGACAAATCACTGGACCCACTCAGCCTTCCTTGGGTCACAGAAGTGGGGAATCACGTCTCAGTATGTGTCTCCAAAGGAGATCAAATCCTCTGAGCCCACGCATGAGGAAGGAGATTTAAACTAGTGCCCATAAATGATTGCGATCCTTGTGGTGTAAACGGATCACTTCGACACAGGGTGGGAAGGGCCATGATGGCCTCAGGCTGGGACGCTGGAGGCAGAGGAGGCACCCCTCCCCGGGGAGGGGGTCCAGGAGGCAGAAGGCCACCCACTTGCCATCCACCTCTGCAGGTGCGAGCTGAGTGCTCATGAACCCAGTGGCCCTGGACAGCCAGGTATATACATGGTGTGTGGAAAATGGGAGAAGTAGGGACCGTGGTCCCTGGAGATGACACACTCTCCAAGACCATGCGGGGACTTGGCCCAGAGTCCCAGAGCTTCTCGCTTTCAAGAGAAGCAGGAAGACTGGCCTTATTTGTGAAATTTCCTAATTTTTAGAGGTTTGCAACTAGCTTCATTAAAACAGTGAAATCTATCCAGCTATCACTTCAGGGACCCAACCAAATGCATCCTCTCTAAGTGCTTGTGACTGCAGGAGAGTGAACCCTCTGGGTGGGAACAGAATGTCTGTGCGTCTGTGAGTGTGATGGAGAAAGTCAGCCTGTGGCTCAGACTGCAATGAAACCATGCAGGGAGTTCTATGTGGAAAGAGAAACGGATGAGATGCGCCCCTCCTCCCGCCCCCCGCAGCCCTGCAGTTGCGCAGGATGACTTGCAGGTTTTGCTGGCAAAGCACTCTCCCTCCTCTCTGGGACACAGAGCAGCTCCTCCAGCCGCTGTCCATCTGCCTGAGGCTGCTGGGCCTGAGGGCAGGACTGTGAGGCGGGGGTGACATCTGCCGCTTGCTCATCCCGGCCCTCCGTGCCCCCTGTCTGCAAAGCCCAGTGTGGCCCAGCCAGTCCAGATCTCCCAGTCTTTGGAGTCATCTTCCCTTCCCTGCCAGATGGATCTCCTTTCAGGCTGTGCTTCCCCAGCCATTCCCACACCAAGATGTGGTCCTCCTCAGTTGATGGATATTGGCTAATTGACTAGGGTTTTGTTGCTTCTACTTCAAAGGCAGGTGGGAAAGTCCCCAGCCATCTCTTTGGAAAGAAAAGATGACTCAAGTGTTTTAGTTTCTAGTTGTCCCAAATCATGCTCTCGTGAAACTGGAAGGGGCTTTCTAATGCACCCTCCACCCCTGTTTTCACCCAGGGGTCCCACGAAAACATAGACAAGTGGGAATTCACCAGATTCCCCCAGTTTTGGGAGAGACCCTCTCCCTGTTCCCCTCCTCTAAGGGGAGGGGCCAGATCATCCTCAGGGAGGTTTCTGCTCTTGCACACCAAGAAGACAGCTCCCCTCTTCCTTCACTTAACTGAACAGAAATGTTTTCCTCCCTCTGAAAAACAGGATTAAAAAAGCCATTTCGCAGCTAGAAAACAGACTTGCAAGCAGAGGATCAGTCCGCTCTTAAGAAGGCTTTGTTGATTCTCCAAAATACTCCAAAGTGTTGATGTAAATAATGGCTGCTAAATTAAATGTTGCAAAAATAAACGATTCAAGGACACATTCCTTCCCGGAGTCGTTCTGATTTTGCAAACTTTAGACTTCACCCTGAAGTTTACCCTGCAAGTTTTTAGCAAATTCTCCTTAAGACACTTCAACAGAACTCTCATCCCCCAAATAAAGAGTTTTAATCCAGAAGAGTGCATGACTTACAGCGTTCAACTTCCTTCTCATGTAACCACTTGTGGTAATGAAGTTAGTAAGATAAAAGCACTGCTGTTTTCCATTAAATTGCATCGCTCTCCAAAGAAATCAAAATCAAAACTTTAAATATAAAAATCCATTCCAAGACAAACAAAACTATGCCATCTGTAGAGACGTGGATGGACCCGGAGCCTGTCATACAGAGTGAAATAAGTTAGAAAGAGAAAAACAAATATCGTATATTAATGCATACATGTTGGATCTAGAAAAATGGTACAGATGAACCTATTCGCAAAGCAGAAATAGAGACACACGCATAGAGAACAAATGTATGGACACCAAAGGTAGAAGCGGGTGGTGGCGGTGAGGGGGATGGCGGAAATGGGATGAATTGGGATTGACATACAGCAATCCTACGGACTGTGGCCTGCTAGGCTCCTCTGTCCATGGAATTCTCCAGGCAGGAATACTGGAGTGGGTAGCCATTCCCTTTCATTCCTTTCTTCAGGAGATCTTCCTGACCCAGGGATCAAACCTGGGTCTCCTGCATTGCAGGCAGATTCTTTACCATCTGAGGCCCCAGGGAAGCCTATATATATATTACTCTGTATAAAATAAATAACTGATGAGAACCTACTACACAGCACAGGGAACTCTATTCAATGCTCTGTGGTGACAAAGAGAGGATATATGTATTCACAGCTGATTCACTTTGCTGTATAGCAGAAATTAACACAACATTGTAAAGCAACCATGCTCCAATAAAAATTTTTTTTAAAGAGAAATATAGGCTGGAATGCTTCCCCCACTGCTCAGGACTTGGGGATATCACCTAGCTTCCCTAAACTCCAGTTTTCTTTGGGCGAAATAAGGTAAAATTGTAGTCCTTATGACTATTCAGAGGACTTGTGCACTTAGGATATGCACAGCTGTCTGTATGGCATGCTTTAATATGACATTCCGTGTGTGTGTGTGTGTGTGTGTTCTGGCCTTTCTCCCAGGAGTGGGAGGTGACTCCAAGAGGGTGATGTACTTGGCAAGGACCAGGGACCTCCAGACCACCATGGAGGACACCTGTCATCACAGAGCAGGGGGCCTTGTACATGGGACAGGAGGCAGAGACGCTGGCAGAAGACAAGTGCTCTGCTGCTGAGACAATCACAGATGAATGACTTTTCTGCCCTGAGGTTATCTGCCTGTAAAATGGACACAACGGTCATTGTTTTGCAGGTTAAATGCCAACGGGGGTACTAACTGTGCAAATACCACGCCCACACCTCGCTTCTCCTCTCCCCCCCCCCTGATGTCCTGTCCATAGTAGATCCCCCCACCCCCATGATTTCCTTCCTTGCCTCTCAGTGGCCACTGCAGTCTGCCCAGCCACCCAGCCCCTGCCTGCTCATCCTGGCTGCGGCCATCTTTAGGGCCAGACGCCCGAGGAGGAGGGCAGGGACTGGCCTAGCAGAGCCCGTCCTGTGTCCCGATTCCCAGCCTCCCCAGGCTCTCATCTCCCCTTCCCTCGTCACCAGTCACTCTCTCACCCTTTTCCTGAAGGGGCTCCACCGCTCCCCAGGCGCAGTATCCTTGTGTGAAAAATAACACGTAAAAGACCTAGCAGGCTGAAGGTAACAGATTCTGATTCAAAGAACAGATTCAGGCCGCCAGGCGGAGGTGAGAACCTTCACTGTTTGGAGCGTTTTTTCTGACGCCCAGCAGTGAAGCGATGCACCAGGGTCAGAGAGACAGAAAGCGGCAGGCAGCTGGGATGTGAGCAGGACTGAGGCAGCCTGACGCCCAGGCCTTGTCCCACTCAGAGAGCAGCTGCAGGTGGCCTGGGTGGCAGGGGCTAGACTCCTGTCATCCCCATCTTCCCCCCAACATTGATCCTAAGATAATCAGAGGGCTTGCCTATGACCCAGCTCACAAGCTCTGCATGGGCAACTGTCCCAGAGGCCACCGAGCCTGCCTCCTTCCCACACCTGGGTGCAGAGACAGGAGGACATGGAGGGTGGAGCTGACACCCGACTATCAGCACCTGCTTCCTGGGTCCCGGTATATAGGTCACCGTCACATCCCTGGTGTGGTGACTCACCGCTCCCCTGTCACAGCCTGATAAAGAACTCAAGCCATTAAGACATGGAACAAATGACTAAATGGGAGGCGTAAGAGGAACCCAGGATTAAATTAGTTCATTATTCATGCATCAGAAATGACTCTCCCTCTCACCAGTTCTTGTCTCTTATCTCTCTGTCTGTCAGACTTGAAACTGCAACAGCCTCTGACGGGCAGGAGGGCTGGCTTGGAGGCCCCCTTCCTCCTGAGTAGGGACCCCACCCAGGGGTAGCAGCCACCTCCAGGCTGGGGCCCGAGAGCTGAGCTGGCCCAGGCCTCACATGGGCTGTCTGTCGGCTGCTCTCTGGACTGTGATCTTGGAACCGAGGAGCAGGGCTGTGGGGCGGACGCTGCAGGGCATGCTGGGTCACAGAGGTGGTCCTGACACCGGAAGTGGCAGGGGTGTGCTGAGCTCCACGGCTGTGTCTCCTCTGCGGGGTGACAGGCATGTCACCTCTTCGGAGCATATCACATCTTCAGGGTGCGGGTCAGCCCTGGTAGAGGGCTGTCTCATCGCTGACGGGGCTGTCTCACGGCTGAGGGTCCCTTAAGGCCTTTCTATCCCCGCTGGAGACAGGGCCCGCCTGGGTCTCTCCCAGGGCTTGTCCTACATGGAATGAACTGGGAAGGAGAGCAAGCAGTTAGCCCAGTGCCAAGAATGCCAGGGCATCTGTTCCCCAGCCTGGGGGGCAGAAGCGGGGTAGATCCCAGCTCAGCTTTCGGCCACGGCCCCTCCCTGCAGTCTACCAGACACAGGAAGCAGCAGCCAGGGTCCCATCTCAGGGGGGGCTGGGAGGCGGGAAGCTGAGACTCGGAGGGAGTCAGATCCAGCTGGGAGGCAGGCAACCCTACCCAGAGGACCGTGCACATGGACACGGGAGAGGTGCCGCCCCCTGCTGGTCACAACTGGGAAAGGCACGGCAATACACAGGGCCCAGGACAGGGTGTCAGGCAGGAGAAACTGCATCGGTTTTAGGCACACATTTGCTTGCGGCTTCCAGCATCACTCCACCTGGAACACTATTTTGATAAAGCCTGGCTCCTACACTTTGGGTCAGGTGTTCTCGAATAAGCAGCGGTATTCTGGGACTATTCGTGAGAGGGTGAGTTCCCCCTCACCAGAGCTCACTGGGATCATTCGGTTAGAACTACTCCCCACGTCATCCTCACATCTTTTCTGCCACTGAACGGCTGGCTGTGTTTTAACAGTGAGCAAGGGCTGGACGGGAGGAGCAGAAAAGTGAAAGGGGGATCAGACACTCATCAGGGCGCTGGGTCCTCCAGCAAGAAGTGAACTCAGGTTCTCGCCTCATGGCAGCGAGTGCCATCTGCTGCAGGCTGGCCAGGAGGCAGCAGCACCCAAGCTCCCTAGACTCAGCAGTGACCCCACGCTCATCTCAGGGACGGAGATGCTGGGCACCAGTTAGTGACCTGTCCAAGCAAGGGGCTGAGCCACGGTTTTGGCCCGCGCTCCCAAGCCCCTGCCGTTTTCGCATCACTATGCACCTTCTGAGTTTGGGGCCCTGAGGGAGACCAACATGCCCTTGTTCTCCTGCAGCCAGAGCAGGTGTCAGCAGCGCCCCTTCAGTCTTGCCGCACTGTCCTGGCTGTGCTGACATTCTAATTGGGAGGAAGGTCGGGTTTTTCCACTTTCCCACTATCCCGATTCATCTTGTCCACTTGGATTCTTGGATTTGATCACTTCCCATACCGCATCCCTCTTGCTTAACCGTTCTCTGGGTAAAATTCCCGTCTTAGCCAAAAGGGCACTGTTCCTACTGAAGCCAGGAGTCAGAACCTCGTCCCTGCAGTGTCCCCCAGCTCCTCGGCGGCCAGCTCTCCGGATCCGCCTGCTGCTGACACCCGCAGACAGGGCCCAGGCCTGTCACTGAACCTCACCGGGACCCTGAAAGCCACTGACTTGACACTGATTTTTTACAGCTTTGCAAAGAGTTGCCTTAGTTCCCTTTCTCTGAATGCATTAGAAAGTTAAAGAGAGAAAAAGAAATCTTTTAAAAATTCCCCAGCTATCTTAATTAACATGCAGAATGCTTTTCTGGCAGCACACAGACTGTGATAAAATGGGAAGCTGCTTCACACAACATATATTTAATCTGTGGCATTCGCTTCCACATGAAATTCAATCAGACATTTTAAGGGAGTTAACAAGGGCTCTCATCGAACTGTGAATAAATGCAGGTGTGATAAATACACTCCAGCTCCTGAGACGTTTCATTAAATGATGAAAGTGTACAGGAGGGTGGGGCTGAAGGACAAACCTTAATTCTAATTCTGTACATTGTCAAAGAGGGTAAGAGAATTTATTGGACAACGCTGGTGCAATCTAATGACCCACTGCCTCTGAAAAATCAATTACGCTTGCTCATTTGTTCTGTTTTTCTGAGAACTCTAATTCGGGTCTGCTAAGTGTCAGGCACAGTGGAGGCAGTAACTGGTGAGTGATGCAGTTCCGGCCTCTGCCCACTTGGAACTCACACCGTGATCGGGAGAGCCAGATTATGAACAGGTAAGCAAGTGAAAGTGGGAATTTCCGATTGGGTTAAACAGCAGAGCAGATGAGCTGGGATTCAGGTAAGATATCTGCGAGCTGTTATTTGACATAAAGTCTGAAGCATGAGGAAGGACCTGTTGTGCAGAAAGGGAGCAGCCCAGGCAAAGAAGGTTCATTCTGAGAGACTCTCAACAAGGCAGAACACTGAGATGCCAAGGTTTGCAGCAAAGAGATAGTTTATTCCCAAAGTAGCCAACCGAGGAGCTGGGGGAAAAAATCTCAGATCCCCCTCTCTAAAACGAAGGGGTTGGGGCTATTTATGGGATAATGAACGAAGACACAGGGTGGTCTGAGGCGTAGGGAGCCTGGGGAAGGTGGGGCATAGTGGACAGGTGATTGCAAAAAGGTGTGGTCATCCTTCTGCACAGGCATAACTAAGCTATAGGTCTCTGTGTGTTCAAAGGGTCATCGAGGACACTCGCACATGCCCAGTTAGAGGGTCGATAGTCCCATCCAGTCTTAACCAGTTCAAACTACACACAAGTGACTCCAAGGAAAACAATTGAGGCAAACATCTTATCGTTTAGGCTACAGCCACTCAGAGGACATGCAAGTTTTAAAATGATCTTGATTCATGAAGGTGAATGAAATGGATTTGACTGATAATTACACACAGTTTCAAAGGAATAGTCCATCCAAAGCTTGTCCAATGTTTACTGAGGCCAGAGGCCCTGTGTGTGAACAGGGGAACAGAAAGAGGCCATTAGGCTTGAACATGGTGAACAGCCTAAGCGCTGAGGACCAGTATTTGTTTGGAAAGGAAGCCTTTTAGCTTCTCCTTTCTTCTTTCCAAGAAAAGGTGAGTGGGGAAAGGATGGATGGCTTGGCTATGTGCGTGAGGAGAGTAGTTCATCACAGGGAGAAAGATAAAACTACATCCCACATCATACACAAAAGGAAATACCTGACATATCCAAGGCTACACTCAGTGTGAAAGCTTGCAGAAATGAGTTATTGGGAAAGAAAGGAGCAGAATATCTCTGTGTTGTTGGGACAAGGATGGGTCTTTTAACATAATCCCAAAAGTACAACCTTCAGATGAAAATGGAAAGCATTAGACTACATCAAAATTAAGGATTTTGTTCAAAGAAAGAAAGAAAACATTTCAGACAAAGCTAACAGCTGCGTGAAAACTTGGAGAAGATTTTGCATTGTCTAAAATGAAGGGATTAATCACGGAAATGCAAGTCAGAACCACAATGATACATTTCTTCACACATGCTACAATGGCTATTCTCAGAAAAGACAATAACAAGTGTTGGTGAGGATGCAGAGAAAAGGGAATCCTTGTGCATTGCTGGCAGGAATGTAAACTGGTGCAGCCAGTAAGGAAACCAGTATGCAGGTTCCTAAAAATACTTAAAAAGAACTACCAAGTGTGTACGTGCTCAGTCATGTCTGACTCTGGGATCCTATGGACTAGAGTCTGCCAGGCTCCTCTGCTCATGGGATTTTCCCAGCAAGTATACTGGAGTGGGTTGCCATTTCCTCCTCCAGGGAAACTTCCCAGCCCAGGGGTCAAACCTACATCTCTTGCATCTCCTGCATTACAGGTGGATTCTTTACTGCTGAGCCACTGGGGAAAGAACTACCCTATGATCCAGCAATTCCATTTCTGGGTATTTATCCAAAAAAAACGAAAACATTAATTCAAAAAAGATACAGACACTTCTATGTTCACTGCAGTATTATTCATAATAGCCAAGATATGGAAGCAACCTAAATATCCATCAAAAATCAATGAATTAAGAAGATGTATATACGGGGTTTCCGTGGTGGCTCAGATGGTAAAGAAGATGTATATATATGTGTGTGATATATATATACACACTCACACACAATGGAATATTACTCAACCATAAAAAACAAAATCTTGGCATTTGTGAAACACAGATAGACTTAGAATATATTATGCCAGGTGAATACGTCAGACAAAGAAATAAAAATACTGCATGTTTCGTATGCAGAATCTAAAAAACCAAACAAGTGAACAAACAAAACAAAGCAAAACAGAAGCTGACTCACATACAGAGGGACTGGGGCTAGGAGCTGGGTGAAATAGGTGAAGGAGATTAAGTACAAACATTCAAAATGGCTTAAAAACTTTAATACATGACACCATAAAACTCCTACAAGGAATCATAGGTAAAACATTCTCTGACATAAATCATACCAGTGTTTTCTTAGGTCAGTCTCCCAAGGCAATAGAAATAAACACAAAAATAAACAAATGGGGCCTAACCAAACTTAGAAGGTTTTCTATAGCAAAGGAAACCATAAACAAAATGAAAAGACAACCTACAAACTCAGAGAAAATATCTGCAAATGATATGACTGACAAGGGCTTAACTTCCAAAATATACAAAGAGCTGATACAACTTAATAACAAACAAACAATCAAAAAATGAGAAGTTCTAAATAGACATTTCTCTCCAAAGAAAACATACAGATGGCAGATAGGCACATGAAAAGATGTTCACCATTGCTAATTATTAGAGAAATGCAAATCAAAACTACAATGAAGTACCACCTCATACTGGTCAGAATGGCCATTATCAAAACTACAAACAACAAATGTGGGAGAGGGCCTGGAGAAAAGGGAACTCTCCTGTAATGTTGGTGGGAGTGTAAATTGTTAACAGCCATTATGGAGAACAGTATGGAGCTTCCTTAAAAAACGAAAAAAATAGAGCTACCATATGATCCAGCAATCCCACTCCTAGGCATATATCCCCAGAGAAGCATAATTCAAAAAGACATATGCATCCCAATATTCATTGCATCCCTATTTATGATAGCCAAGACACAGAAGCAACCTAAATGTCCATCCATCGACAAATGAAAGGATAAAAATGTGGTATACATACAGAATGGAACACTATTCAGCCATAAAATGAATGAAATAATGCCACTTGCAGCAACATTGATGGAACTAGAGATGATCATTCCAAGTGAAGTAAATCAGACAGAGAAAGACAAATATATGATATCACTAGTATGTGGAATCTAAAATATGATACTCACAGACACAGATAACAAGCTTATGGTTGCCAAAGAGGGAAGGGGACAGGAAAGGAATAAATTAGCAGTTTGGGATGAGCAAAAACAAAATACGACATACAAAACAGATAAACAACGAGGTCCCACTGTAGGGCACAGGGCGCGATATTCAGTGTACATGGCCAGTTTCTGTAAATACGCTTTTACTGGAGCACAGCTCTGCCTGCCTGTGGCTGCTCTGTGCCCTATCATCAGAGTTGTGTGGTTGTGACCGACCGCGCAGCCCACAAAGTCTGACGTGTTTCACATCCAGCCCTTTACAGAAAAAGGCTGTTGACCCCGATCTAGGATATGTAGAGAATGGGCAAGAAATGTACCAGGAAAATCTATAAATAGGTGATTTACTGGGGAAGAAATGAATTATCTGCCCATACATGATAAAATGAACATTCTCTCCAGAATTCAAGAGAGTGAAAATTAAAGTAATAATGAGATTAGAAAGGGAGGTAATACTAAGTACTGGTGAAGATGTCAAAAAATAAGAACCCTCCAGCTATTCGTTTAGAATGTAAATTTGTGTAGCCGTTCACAGAGCATCTGACTGTTGTATTAGGTTGAGCAACCTAAAACTGCTGATATGAACCTGAGGAGTTCCCAGGAAAGCCTCCTGAGCCCTGCCCCCATCCCAGCCGCTGGCTAGTGATATCATGTGTGAACATTACTGTCTGTCCACCCTGCATGAAGTCCCCCCTCCCTCATTTCTCAGGGCGGGGGGAGCACCCTGATGTGTTATTCATGGATTCTCCTTTTGTAAACAGCCTAAGAGTTGGGAGGGAATCAGATCCCATCCTTAGCTCCAGGGCTGGGTTAGATGGGTTCAGAAATGAGCACATGGCCAAATTCAGGCCACTGAAATTTCAAGCAAAGTTTGCCAGCAGGTTTGGGGGGAAGTTTCCCTCACTCTGCTGAAAAGGCTTCCTGAATTGGTTCTGTATCACTCTCTTCCCTTGAATGTGAGCTGCAGATGGGCTGCCTGGGCTTTACCTGTCCTTAAACAGAATATGATGCCAATACCTGGAAGGGAGTGAAGCAAAATGCAACTCCTAGGCATCAGACTTGGGGTTTAGATTAAGTTAACCCTAAAGCCCACCCATCCCCTGAGCTTCTAGATGAGCAATCCAGAAATCATTTAAGCTGGTTTGTGTTAGGTTTTCTTACTTGTATCTCAAGGCATCCTAACCAGTGGAAATGATCTGAGAGTGTAGGGACTGGAGAGGCAAGGGAGTGTAAGAGCATCTTTGGGATGCTAATGAATGCCTGGTGACTAGGGGACTCTAGAGAGCTTCAGAATTGGGGTTGGTGGCCAGAAAGATTAAGCCATCATTAGAAGGTTAGAATGTTTAACCCCACTCCCTGACCTCCAGAGAGGAGAGAAGAGCTTGAGGTTAAATTCAAATGGCTAATGATTGACCAATGGCCAATGATTGACTCAATCATGCCATGTACCTCTACAAAACCCCCTAAGTGATGGGGTGGAGGGCTTCCAGGTGGGTGAACAGTGAGGTCCTAAGAGGGTGGTGGCCCAGAGAGGGCATGGGAACTACCTTCTCCTTCACCTCCTTCTCCCAAGTTCCTTCTCTCCTTGCATGCTTTCTATTTGGCTATTCCTGAGATGTAGCCTTTACAATAAAGCAGTAAGTAAAGCACTCTCCTGTGAATGATTCTAACACACTAAGGGGATCAACCTGAGGGGACCATGGCATCCCCTCTATTTGTAGGAGGCCAGGCAGAAGTGTGGGTGGCCTGGACACCCCACTGAAGCTGGCCCCTGAAGTAAGGGCAATCTTGTAGAACTGAACCCTTAAGCCTGGAGTCCGACTCTGGGGAGTTAGCATCATTATTGAATGAATTGCTGGACAACCAACTGTTGGTAAATTGTTGGTATGTTACAGAATTGGTGTTGGAAAAAGAACATCACACCATCTTCAAGCAAGGGAGTGGGCTCTGCACACTCACCAACCAGTCGTGCTTGTGGGCTGCCCTGAGGAGGAAAACCTAACTGCCCCCTCCCCAGGTGAGGTGTTTCCCATCATCCAAGGACAATTCTGGAGGAGGTAACTGTGAAGTCTTAGCTTCCAGTGCACAAGCGCCTGGGGGATGAATGCACAGCCCCAGAGAAAAGGTTCTGAATGGGGCACTGGAACCGAGGAGGACCCTGTGGGGTTCCTGGGCACAGAAGCCTTTCCGTGTCCCCCGTTTCTTGTTTGGAGGGAACAGACTGCAGTCTCCCTGATGTTCCTTGAGTTCCAATGGCCAAAATCCAAACAGCTGGCAATCAGGGAACAGAGGGGACACAGAGACAAGGGGGGAGCAGCCAAGAAGCAATGGTGCAGGCTTCGAGCGGGGTCCTGGTCCTGCCTCAAGGGATACACAGTATCTTTGAGCTCTTTACAGAACTAAAATCCCCCACAAATAGAAGATGTCAGCATTCTTCATTCCAGAGACTACCTGATGCCAGACTAAAGGAACCGGAGAGGCTCCTCAAGGGATTACCTGAGGGACTGCCCTGGCGGTCCTGTGGCTGAGACTCCACTGTCCCAATGCAGGGGGCCTGGGTTCAACCCCTGGCTGGGGAGCTGGATCCCACATGCTGCAAATAAAGATCCCACCTGCCACAACAAAGATCCTGTGTGCTGCCATTAAGACCTGGTGCAGCCAAATAAATAAATATTTAAAGAAAGAGAGAAAGAGAGAGATTACCTTAGTCCAGATTAAAGAAGTGCCGACCCTGCACACACCCTAATCCTTATTAGCAATCCTACCCTTAAACCACTGTATAAAATTCCTCATTAAATCCTCCCAGGTTGAGACACAGTTTTTGAGGCAGGAGCATGCTTTGTCCCCCTTTGCCTGGCAAAGAAATAAAGGTATTCTTTTCTACCTCACCCCAAACTCTGCCTCCAAGAGTCGATTCCACATTGGTGCAGAGGCCGAGTTTTCCACCTCAGCACCAAGAGCATCTGGCATGGTCAGTATTGCCAGTTCCCCCTCTGAGAAGGCGCTGAAGGAAGTGACAAGAGGAACTCGGCAAAGCCTGTGGCCAAGACAAGGAGAACACAGCAGCAGATCAGGAGAGAGGACTGCCCGCCAAGGAGGGACAAGGCTGTCACGGCAGCAGCCAGGGTGGCAGAGTGCCAGCGTGCGTTGTCGTACCTGGAGTTTGTCACCCAGAGATGCTGCGGTAGACACACGACAATCAGAACCAGGTGGCCCCCTTACCACTGCCTGCCAAGGCCTGGACACCACATACCGTCACCCTGGGACTCTCCCCCAGGGACAAGGGGAAGGGGAAAAGCCCTGAAGTGACTAAAAACGTCTCACCACCTGAATGGGCTCCAGGGCAGAAAGCAGAAACAGGTAAAGAAAGTTACACGGGTCTGCCCACTGGCAGACCTGCCATCGCCACATGCGCTCCTGCTGAGACCTGAAGGAACGTAACTAGGGGGACGGCGCTGTCAGCGGGTTCACCAAGCATGGTCATTTCCGCACTTCCATGCTCAACCACAACCCTGCTGGTCTGAATGGAGGCCTCCCGACTTAATTATCGTGTTTATTAATTAACGGTGCATCCCTTTCCCTGGGCTTATCCTGGCTTTCAGTGAAAGATAAAGTGCTTGTATTTCACAAGTGTTCTTTGCAGGGGTCCTCCTTCTTTGGGCAAGGGGCCACATTCAGCGTTACCAGGGCGATCGTGTGTTGCTGAGTAAGCAGGACCATCTTCCGTGATGCTGCGAACGGCCTGGCCTTGTCTATGAATCCAAAGCGATTATGAACATTGGGGATTTCCAAGTCCTTCACAGGGCAGCTGGGTGGCCCTGTGAAAAGGAAAATGACTTCCTTTCACCTCAGTTTTTTTTATCTGTACAATGGGGAAATAATGAAAACTTCCTCAAAAACTGAAATGACAAAATACAGAAAGCAGCTAGGAAAGGGCCTGGCATGCAGCGTTCAATTAATACTAGGTATTAAGATAACTTAAAATTTTTTCTACTTTTTTTTAAATATAGCTGCTATACAATGTTATATAAGTTATAGGTGTACAGCATAGCCCCTCACAATTTTTAAAGTTATACTCCACTTACAGTTATTATAAAATATTGGCTATAATCCCTGTGTCGTACAATCTATTTTTGTAGCTTATTTATTTTATACGTAACAGTTCGTACCTCTTAATCCTCTACCCCCTCTCTCTCCTCACAGGTAACCACTAGTTTGTTCTCTAAAACTGTGAGTCTGTTTCCTTTTTATTATATTCACTAGTTTGTTCTCTATATCTGTTTCCTTTTTATTATATTCACTAGTTTGTCGTATTTTTTAGATTCCACTTATAACTGATACCAAACAGTATCTGCTTTTCTCTGTCTGACTTATTTTACTTAGCATAATGCCCTCCAAGCTCATATGTTCAGTTCAGTCACTCAGTTGTGTCCGACTCTTTGTGACCCCATGGACTGCAGCACACCAGGCTTCCCTGTCCATCACCAACTCCCGGAGCTTACTCAAACTCATGTCCATCAAGTCAGTGATGCCATCCAACCATCTCGTCCTCTGTCATCCCCTTCTCCTCCTGCCTTCAACCTTTCCCAGCATCGGGGTCTTTTTCAATGAGTCAGTTCTTCACATCAGATGGCCAAAGTATTGGAGCTTCAGCATTCGTCCTTCCAATGAATATTCAGGACTGATTTCATAAGTTAAATATTTCTGAAACTTTTATTGATGCACCCTTATAGAGAAGCACACGTATCACAAAAGTATGATTTGGTGAATCTCCCCAAGCAGGACACACCCATGTAACCAGCACTCAGATGACTGAGGGACCTTTACCAGGACTGAAGCCCCTGCGGGCCTTCCTTCTGTCAGTAAAGCCAACCCCAAAGGCAATACTCTCCTGACTTCTCATAATGTAGACTGGCTTTTGCCAGGTTTTTTATGTATATGAATGGACTCACACTGTGTATATTTCTTGTGCCTGGCTTCTTTCACTCCACATCACGTGCCATCCATTCTATTCTGTATAGCTAGCTGTACTTCATTCATGTTTATTGTTCTATACTGTCCCACTGGGTCAGTCGACCTCAGTCTGGTTACGGGACTTTGGTTTTATGTGCTTTGACATGGTTTTAAGTTGAAGGTGGTTATGAATAAGGCTACTATGGATATTCTTACCTGAGTTTGCTTTTTTTTTTAACTTTTTGAGATCATTGTATATCCACGTGCAGTTATACGAAATTATACAGAGACCTGATGTGCGTTTTACCCAGGGCCCCTCATGGGAACATCTCACAAAACCACACTGCATTATCACAATCAAGACACTGGCGTTGATATAACCCATTGTGGATCTGGTTCAGTCTTCCCCAGTTTTATTTGAACAAGTGTGTGTGTGTGTGCATGCACGAGTGCATGTGTGTACTGAGTTCTACACACTTTGTTTTTGGCCGTGCCCCGTGACTTTTGGAATCTTAGTTCCCAGACAAAGGATTGAACCCAGGGCCACTGCAGTGAGAGTACCAAATCCTAACAATTGTACCACCAGGGAATTCCCAAGTTCTCCACACTTTTATCACGCATGTAGGTGTAGACACCGAACAGCTCCACCACCAATGGCCCATGAGGAACACATGAGCAAACCTGACAGCGAATCACACGTTGGCAGCAATTTTTAAGAGACGCTGCGCCAGATCCACCCAGCAGGTCACCCTGGATTTCCGACCCTCAGAAACTGAGGGAGATAATGTTTTGTTGTTTTCGGCTAAGTACCGAGCTCATTTGTTTTACAAAAACTGATAACTAATACAAATACCTACATCAGACCCTCGTTAAAAATGCAGATCTCTGAGCCTCACCCAGGCAGAGAACCTGCCTTTTACAAACTCCTCAGGCAACTCTCTTTTTAAATCACTGATCTGCCACTAATTCCATGACGCTTACTTCACCCTTGGTCCCAATCTTTTAAAAAATGTGTATAATCATGCCTGCTTAGGAGAGTTTCTGTTTCGGTTTTGCCTGCTGTTTGGTTAGGGATGCTGTGACACCTCCAGGTGCCCTGTCTACACACCCTCACATTTCAGGGCACACTTGGCAGGGGGCAGGGGATTCCAAGGCCCTGCACTGCTTTGTGGGAGGCCTTTCTCTTGCTGCGAGAGCTCATCTGACTGCCTCAGCAGCAAGCCTGCAGTGCTGGGGACTTCACACCCTCCCCGGCCTCCACAAGTAACAACTGACTGGTGTATAAACAACCTGGCTCCCTTGCTTCTCCAAGAGGATGGCTGTCAACCCCTGATGTCTCCTGCAGAATGAAGTCCCCGTCCCCCAGATCACACCCCTGCAAGTGTTGTGCTCACCGCCCAAAGGAACTACTTCCACCCACCTCCAGTCTTGTCTGCTCCAAGGAGAGGGAAAGTAGGACAAGTGCCTCACACAGGGCTGGCACATAGCACGCGCTCAGTTAACACTTCTGACTAAAGAGCTGCCTGTCTGGTTGGTTAAAGGACATGTGAGAACATTTCCAACAAACTGAGTAGGTACTTGCAGCACCGAAAGTCCAAAGACACGTATCCAGACTCTCAAATACATCTTTGGTTACAAATCAACAACTCTAATGCCACCAATTTTAGGAGGAAACAAAGTGGTAACCAAGCAACATACAGGTGGGGAGACCAAATGGCCAATGAATATGTGAAGAGTAGCTGGAGGGCAGCAGTGATCAGGGGAATTCAAATTCAAACAAGAGGTCTGCTCATACCCACTAGAAAGGCAAAGCTAGAAACGTGGGGAGGTAGGAACCTTGCAGAGCTGGGAGCGGAAAGTTGCGGCCACCTCTCTGGACAGCTTTCAGGCAGCGGTTAGCAAAATCTCCATCACCCAGCAAGCCTCCTCCTGTGTACACAAGTCCTATGGAAATTCTCACAAAATACCAGGTGGCTTATGACGGTGTGTTATATTGCGGAGCTGGAGGAAGGTGGGTAAACTGTGACCCCAGGAAATGGATAAATAACTAGGGCCCTTACTCCCAATGGGACTCTGACCCCAGAGCTCCCAAGGAATGGAGCCCAGTGAGAGCCTTCCCTCTGTGGGATATTATCTGATGCTGCATATTTCATCCCTTCCCAGCTCCCTCCCCACAGGGTCCAACCTCCCCAGTCTCTCCTGGGTTTTCCTGGGAGTATTTACCAGTTAAACATTGCATGTAAAGCCTCTGCTGCTGAAAAACCAGACTCAGGATATCCCTTGGTTGTAAGAGACAGAGTCTGAGTTCAAATTCAGGTTCAACTATTCACTGTGTAAACTGCCTCAAACAAGGTACCACCCCAGCAGAAATAATGACAACAACATAACAGCAAACCCCCAGATTGATGGGAGATCTAAACTAGAATTCTCATCAACACTGGCTGTGACAGCCTCGACCTGGGGGCGACCTAGAGTTTTAACACCTGTCCCAGGGTCCTGCAAACAGACACTGGTGTGTCCTCTGAGAGTATTTCCGGCATCATTACAATGGAGAAAAGTTGCTAGAGTTTTTGGAAGCTGGGGTGGCTTTCCTTAGCCTGGAGATTTTTTTTTTTTCTTTCAAATCTCTCTTGCAAAGAGTTAACTGATTAGCCTGAAGTTCTGTGCTAGCTTCCATTGCTCTCTCTTTGGCAGCCAAAGGAAAGTGTGCATTTTTGATGTGTGTGAATTAACATCTTCTGCAGCTCCTCCCACTCACAGACAGAAGGAAAATGATACCCGCCAGGCACTCACAGTTCACACCTTCTTATACCAAAGTGGTGTTGAAGCAAAGGCCAGAGTGGAGAGAGAGGGCTTTTTCCCTGTCTCACCATTGTGGGGAAATTATACCAGAATAGGGAAAACAAAATAGCATCCTTGTTAATATGACCTTATGTAGAAAGAAAAGAAATGTGTCTGGTGACTGTCACCATGGACTTGAAAATCCACCCACCCAGCCTTCCGTAGAAGTGCTGGGTCTGAAACAACTGACAAAGGATTAATTTCCAAAATACACAAGTAGCTCATACAACTCAATACCAGAAA